CCTGGATGGCGCTGGAAGACCAAGCACAAATGGCAGGTTTTCCGCTTATCTTTGCCTTTCCCACCCGGAAGGACCACTCTGGAAGCCTCCCAAATCCTCTGCACGTCCATTTTTGTAAAGGGGGCAGAGTTTTGGTAGGCCAAAAATGCTGTATTCACTGTATAAGACGCACCCAGATTTTCACCCTCTTTTTTGGGGGGGGGGGCGCGTCTTGTACTCTGAAAAATATGGTAATCCCAACAAACCTGGTTCTGAATTGTTTCGGTATACCAGAAAAAGAACAGTTGTCTGCGACCACAGGCCATTCCCAAACCCCTCCGGTTCCTTTCCCAGCCAGGGAGGGACTGGCTATTGTCTGCGTCTGCCTCTCCCTGAGAGCCGGGCTCATTGCTGTCCTTTGCTCTCCTTTCCTCTTTAGGCATACACGAATCTGGTACGGGCCCCATCTGTCCCCCCTCTCACTCAGCTCAGGCCCCGAAGACAGCTGCCTCTCCCCCTAGGGGAGGACGGAAGGCCCCGGCTCAGTCTCCAATGCTGGTTCCTTCTCAGAGCCTTCCAAAAGCTCCAAAACCATCCCAGGCTCTCTTGCCACCTCCTCCTCATTTGACTCTGCTGCTAGCTCTGCTGGCAGCTGACGGGCCACTTACACACTGGTGCACTACACACAATGGCTTGTCCTAATTTAGATGCTCTGCCTTCAGGGGCTCAAGCGGGTGAGCAGCCAAGCTGGGGGTATGCAGTGGATGGGGAATGGGGGCAATCCAGAGGCAACTCTTTGCCCTGGTTTGGCATTTGGGGAAAAGAGCAGCCCATTAGCTTCAAAAGATGCGCTTGTTCTGCCATGCGCTGGCGCCCCAGCAATTGATCTGCAGAAGTGCAGCCTCAGTTGCCCTCATGTGCCTGCAGTGCATATGACCCGATCTCCAGAGAGTCATTTTTCCATTCAGGTTGTTCCACTGATTCATTGTTCCAACTCTCAGGAAATTTCTTCTTAGTCCTACGTTGTTTCTCTCCTTGGTTAGTTTCCATCCATTGCTTCTTGCCCTGTCTTCAGCTGCTTTGGGGCAGGGGTCACCAACCTTTTGGACATCAGGGACCACTAAATTCATAATTTTAAATCCTGCGACCACTAATATGACCTGCCTAATGACCGGTGGGATGGGCATGGCCAACTCGATGTCACTCGCGTTGAGGGGTGCCTCGCTAGCCTTTACTCGGCCCTCCCCTCCCAGCTACTCGCTTGTCCGCCTGGGCTTCTTAGGGCTTTAATAGGAAGCAATTGTTGGAGCTAAGCAGCCACCATGAGAAAGCATTGGCAAAAGAGCTCTTCCCATGCAGTCTTCCCACGAACCCACCTTACAAAAAAAACAACAACCCCAATGTTGTTCTTATTTGGATTTGGATTATTTGGAGTAATCATTCCACATAGTTGCCTCAAATTAATCAGTAGTAACCGAGAGGGATCTTGGAGTCCTAGTGGACAACCATTTAAATATGAGCCAGCCGTGTGCAGCAGCTGCCAAAAAAGCCAACACAGTTCTAGGCTGCATAAACAGAGGGATAGAATCATGATCACGTGAAGGGTTAATAGCACTTTATAAGGCCTTGGTAAGGCCACACTTGGAATATTTGCATTCTGTTTTGGTCGCCACGATGTAGAAAAGATATTCGGACTCTAGAAAAAGTGGAGAGAAGATCAACCAAGATGATTAGGGGACTGGAGACTAAAACATATGAAGAACGGTTGCAGGAACTGGGACTGTCTAGTTTAATGAAA